AAAATCAAACAAAGCATTAGGGACATTTAGGTAGGGTTTATTTTTTAAAAATTCTATAAATCAAATAAGAACATAAAACTGAAATGTTATTTAACCTTGGTTTGGCCAATAATAGAATATGCATCCTCGGTTTGGGACCCCTCAACTCAAGAAAACATTAAGAAACTGGAACAGGCACAAAATAGAGCCATGTGAGATTCATCACTAACGAATATTCACATTTGACTAGAGTAACACCTTTAGTAAAATCACTAAATTTAGAAATCCTTCAGGATAGAACACTTAAAAGTAAAGTAGCAATTATACATAAAACACTTCAAACACAAAAACCAAATCTAATAAAATACTCAGAAAGACACAAAGATAAAGTCACGTTCCTCATTCCATATGCTAAGACAAATTTGTACAAAAGCTCCTTCTTCCCTGGTGCATTTAATGGGTTGTCTGAGCTAGCCAGCAAAACTAGTGACTTAGGTCATTGGTTAATATGTATTACTAAATGCATGACATGTAGGACGTAATCATCCTCTTTTTTGAAGTAACATCTGTATTTTATAAGATAAGATAAGATAAGAGAAGATGTGGTCGCAAACTGAGGCTCTGTATATCATTTTGTTTTGTTAGAGACGAGTAAAAATTTTTTAGAAACCTAATCCTACAGAAGATTTTAGTACTGATAGTAGAGTTAATAGTACTGATAGTAGTACTGACTTGAATATTTCTGATTGTGTGTTGAACTCGTTTTGTGCGTGGACAAAGATTTCGAATACAGATGAATCCACACGCAAGAGCTGCTGATTGAAATATCTACAAAATGACGAACATATTGACCAATGTTTGACTTAAAGATGGCACAAATGCTGGTAATACAAACAGATTACAATTTTATATCTTGAATTGTGGGTTATTTTACAAAAATTGTTGACTGCTTTTCCTTCTTCCTGTTTGGTAGAATTTGGATTCAGCTGGTTACGAACCCCCACCACAAATAAAAGAAACCAACTAGAAATGTCTGCTTGTGGAGATTTGTGTTTGGCGGTTGCTAAAAAACAAACATTGAACATAAATAGACTCCTAAAATCTCATCCATCTTATCCAGATCATTAACTTTTTACAAATTTTATTTAAAATAAAAGTTATGATTTCAATAAACTCTCCTTCAACAAAATGTTGTTTGTTTTTTTTTTTACATTTGTAACTGATATACTTTGCATTTATTTAGCTTTTTCACGAAGGGGTCCTTGCACAGGTTTCGACTATGTAAAAGGGTAAAAACAATAAAAGTAATAAAGTTCCCCTTTCAGATCTTGTGGTCTATAGGGAGATGATGTGAAGGTCATGTGTTTCTGTGGCATAGGTTAACGAGGGTGTCATGTGGCCAGCACAACGACCAACCGCCTTTACGTTTCCGCAAATAATGTCAGGTGCCCATTAGAGCTGGGTAGACTCAGAGGCACCAAAGATCCTGAAATTAAAAATCCCAGGACCCCCGGTTCGAAAGCCAAGAGCTTTAACACTCAGCAACCGCGCCTCCGTGTAAAAGGGGACCCGGGTTAAAAAAAAAAAAAAGGTTTGAGAACCTCTGCCCTAGGCCTAGGTACGCAAGTTTCTCAGTTGCGTAAAATATGTTCTTTTTAAATTGAAGAGTATTACAATCTAAGACTAAGACTGCTTTATTGATCCTTACGGAAATTTGTTGTGATTACAACAATAAGGAAGTGGAACGCTGCGTTCAAATCCCGAACCCGACACCACCGAAACGACTATCCTCATCACGTACTACATGGCCAAGCAGCCATACTGTTCTTAAACAATAAGATGGACTTTAAAAAAAAAAGGTCATGTGTAAGGAACTTTACCGTCAATGATCTACAGAGCTAAAACTTAAAGAATCGACGAGCTTCATGTGAAACGCCGCAGTATTTTCAGATCAACGTATAGTGAATATATATAACCTCAACGACTTGATCTAGTTGAAATTGATAAGAAAACTAAAGCTAGTACATCTAACAACTAATCACATTTAAACATTGCACACTGTTAATTTAGGATCCAAATTTGTTGCAGTTCATAAAGTCGCTTTATTTTTAAGATAAGATTTTACAAATATTATCTTATCTTATAAATGACGGACGTTACTTCTACAGAAAAATTATTGAATATCATGATTGTATCCGTGCGTTTATCTTGTTTTGCATGTTAAAAATAAAATATAGGTCTAACTATGCTAAGCTTTTGGTTTTCCTGGCTGATTCAGGCAGCCCATTCTTTACTCTAATGACACTTGGGAAGAAAGAAGGAGAACTTGTAAAATTCGTCCTAGCATAAGGACTAAGAAATATACACAAAACAAAATTTAAAAAAATTACTAGTTTAAAAAAAGAAAGCTTATATTAAGTGTGTGGATCTGTCATGTAATTAAATGTGTAATAAGACTCGACTACAATCTATAAAGTGAACTAATTCAGCGTATACCACCACCTCAATCAAGTACTATTTATTCCCCTTGTTTAATATACCAGATCGAGTAATTGAATATCAATAGTTAAAGACCATGGGTTCGATTCCCATTCTGGCCTTTTTTTTTCCTCTTTATGACACATTGGGCTTTAAGGAGATAAAAAGAGAAATCATAGGCCGCCACCAGCTTCTGTAACTAGAACAGAAATATAAAGCTTAACGATAACAGACAGAAATGTTACATGTGGAAAACTGTAAAATTAGGGGAAAAAATAACTATTTATTTTTTCACTCTTGTGTTGTGATATTTAATATATTTTTTTTGGTCTATTTCCCCTTGCGGTCTGTTGGGCAGATGATTTTAAGGTCATGTTTCTTTGGCCACCGGTTAACGAGGAGGGTGTCATGTGGCCAACAAAACAACCAACCGCCTTTACTTTTCCCCAACTTAAATCAGATACTCATTAGAGTTGGGTGGACTTAGGGGCGCCCTAAAAAACCCAGTCTTTCCCAACATTCGAACCCAGGACCCCAGATTGGGAAGCCAAGGGCTTAACCACTCAGCCACAGCGCCCACGTTTTTAATATTTATCATATATGTATTATAATTAGATTTGTAGAAAATTATGAAGAATAAAATATAATTTTTTAGTTAACTTTATAATTTGAAAATAAAGTCGGAATTGATTTAAAAAACATATTTTTTAACGCTTACATTGAATAAAAGAAGACCACCTTGAAACGCGCTCAATATTGCTAGTTAATCTTCTCTATTTTCTATACAAAACACACAATTAATTTATTACCATTACTTAATTAACTATTTTATGAATTGTTTGATAAATTCTTGTGCTGTCATCGATATTGAATAATTGTGAAAAGTTTTAACTTGAGGCGAGAATGGGAAGAGGGAGAAAAAAAAGGGAAAACAATCCACCCAGACAGACAGACAGACAGACGGTGTGAGTTAATATAACCTTTGTTAAAATACATTTTTTTTTTATTACAGGCTAGATCTGCTCAATTACCCTCCAACCAAGAGCCCAACTCAATCCAAAAGCGCACAGGCTGGTTCACACCAACACGAGGCAGACGTAACTGGCAGACAAAGTGCAAGGTCAAATACGAAGATCTCCAAACAGTCGAGAAGATCATCCCGTTCTGCCAACAGTGCATGCTTAACGATCACCCCATGCTTTTAGAATTAAAGGCATGTCATACAGGCTTTAGGAACTACACACACCATAAGTCACAGGCTGAGAAATTACGCAGACATAGGAAATGACATCAATTTTATGGCTTTAATGCTAAGAGCGCATTGGTCCAATCTCATTTGTGGACCAGTGGGGGGAGGGGGTATCTGGGAGAAGGTTTATCCATGCTGCCTTTAGGTGCTTAGTAAACACAACTCTGCTCGAGTGTCGAACCTCGAGCCCCCTTCATAGGTAGCCAAGCCAAGGCAAGCGTACTTAGCCTCTCGACCACGCTTACCACAGACATAGACATAAGATATTACACATACGTAGGATATTACACTGGAGTTGGATATTACACAGATATAGGATATTGCACATACATAAATCATTACACAGGCTTACGCCATTACATTGTTCGGAGATGGGATATTACAGATATGTAAGAAATTACACAGACATAAGGCATTACACATTTTTTTGTTGTTTCGCATGTATAGTATATTCCTTTAGAGTTGAAGATTATTACATCCAAGCCCAAACCTCCCGTACAACGGCGTTTGATGGCGACGGGTAAGGCTCGAACCTTGGATACTTGAGACGACAGTCCAGAGCGCACACCGCACGACCAGGCAGCCAGATATAAGATGTCCCACCATGTGGTGGGTTTGGAACAGAAAAATACAAGGGCTGATTAAAATTTGCTTCCATTTTTCATTACTAACGACATGCAGCAATACATAAAAACATGACAATGAGATTCTTAGAAAGATAGGTGCCGGTAACAGTTTCATTTAGCGACATGCTGTTGCGAGAGGTACCGGAAGGGAACAGTGACGTTCTCTGTTCACCATATTGCTGGCCATTCTAGGACAAAGTTCAATTTGCGATTTTATTGGTATATTGTTTTTTGCATTAATAACTTTGACTTGTGCTTTGTAGTAAAATTGTTCCATTGCTGGCCAGGAGAGATCTCAATATATAAGCCTCCTCTTCTCACCACACATAAATGAGACAAAGATTGAAGATACTACTCAAATGTTAACCATGAAGACCATAAAAGCTATTCTTTTATAATTAAATAGTTTTTAAATAAACTTTATAGAACAAAATTTATTGGTGTCGTTTATCTTTAGTGTATCATATAAGATCAGATAATTTTAAAAAAAAAAACTACTTTTTTTTTCAACAAAGATTATTTTAAGTGTAATTCTATCAATTAGTTAGGATCAATCATGTAATTAAATTTGTAATAGATCTAGACCAACAGCAATAAATCTGTGCCATTAATAATACTTTTTATTTTATGGTGGTAAAAGCAAAATTACATTTCGTATAAGATTGTTTTCTTTTCTAAAAGTATATTTTATGTTTTTCTTATTTCAAAACCCTTGCACTATCCCGATGCATACATTTATTGACGTAGGCCTACGTTTTGGATAAAATCATTAAAGAATGAACAATTTCTAACGTATGTTGACTCTGATTAACGGACTCACTCATAGAACTATATCGGTTGAAAGTGTTTTGGTGAGACATCGCAAAGATGTTTAACTACGCTGGTTTTGACAGTCGTATGAAACAGGCATTATGTTGACAGGCGCCCTGGTTAGAAGTGCGCCCTAAAAGCCTTTACTAGTTGTGCGCTGCCCATTCTCCGAACATTCTCAGACACGCATACGTTTACACAAACAGCTCATGTATAGGCTAAGATTATATCTTTATTATACCTTTATCTGTATCTATTTATATAATGATAAATGTATTTTAATGTAAAAAAAGATAATATTGTATGCATGAAATATGATTGGTACAGGTAGTTAAAAATAAACGTTAGTTTCCATGGTGATGCTGTGTGTTTCGTTGTTTGTGTTGGTTTCGTTGTTACCAAAATATTGCGTAAACTCAAAGTTTAGTCTCAGTATTTTCTTTTCCCAAAAATATTCAGAATTCAACTTTTTAACACACTGAACCTGTTCAACAACCAGATAAGTTTTTGTATATCTGCAAACATCACACAAAAATACATGATAAGTGCTTGTATATCTGCAAACATCGGGTTCCAAAGGACTGCCAATGCCGGGGGTGAAAGTGGGGATAAGCACACACTTTCCAAGAAATGCTCCCATGGCTTGCGTCTCTAAATGCCCCTGACAGTCAAATCCAGCTCCTGGCCTTCACGTGTGATTTTCCCAAAAATCCGGCGGAACCTGTTCTTACAAGCTGACAGGAGAAGGGATGAAAGGCGGAACACTGGCGCCTCAAAACCAGTTTAGCTTCGTGTTGAAGGGGCACGTCAGCCTGAATAACGCAACCCATCTAGGAGAAGGAAAACTCGGACTCCAAACCTCCACTCTGTGGCGATACTCCCCCGTGTGGGTTTCGGGGCTTGGAAATGACCAAGAGAAATAAATAACCCCACTGCCTTTCCACTTGCATTTCACTAAGTAAATAATAGTGGACCTTCCCCCCCCCCTCTAGGTGCTTTTTGACGGAGGTCTGGATTGCACTACACCAGACGGAGGTCCATGTCTTACTACATTCTAATACTAGATATAAATCCATCATGAAGTGTTTTTTTTTCTGGATCTGGTGAATGTGATATCGTGAAGGGGCCTGGATCCAGGATGTGACGATTCCACAGGGCATACCCAGGGCAGTCCACTTTAAGCTTTCTACTGCAGAAAAGTTCTGCTCTATGGATGGCGGAGAATGGACCATTGGCCAACCCCACCTTGTCCCATGGATATTCCGGTTACAGTCTTCAGACATAGATGTTTCCTTTTGTCAGTATTGGAGAAAATTGCCAAGACCGAAAACTTCCTTAAAATGCGGTCACTATATATTTATATATTTTTTAAAAAATGCCTGAGGAAACACCCAGCCTACACTAAATGCAAAGGAATTTAACGAAAAATCCATACGAGCTCAGACGTCGCCTCGTAACTCAACATCTTAGGCCTACAAAACAAGACAACAGAACTCCAACACATACTCAAGAAGCATTATATACACATAGCGCTATTGCAAGAAACACTACTGTCCAAAAAAAAAAAATAAACATCACAGGCTACCCACAGTACAGATGCCTTTGCACCAAATGCCAGGGAATTATGGCCCTCATAAGAAACGACACACAAGCCACAGTAAAACAAATGCAGAACAATACAGACATTGACACACAGGAAACACTTCTTTGGAGAGGAGGAACTAAGTACACCATCAAAAAGTACTATTGTCCACCATTATCAACAGCAGAAGTAGACGTACAACTACCACACTACACAAGGACAATAATAGCTGGCGACTTCAATGCACACACACCTTCCCTAGGCTACCCACACTACAACAAGCGTGGCAAAGAAATAGAGGATGTAACAAATGCCTCTAACCTACAACTTCTGCAAAACAAAACTTCACCTCCAACATTCCTCCACAGAGCACACAACACAACCAGCAGACCTGACCTAACTTTTATCTCTACAGACATTACCGACTCTTCTAAAATAACAGTACTTGAAGACATAGGTAGTGACCACAGGCCTATACTCCTCAATATTGGAACGCCAGGCAGATACCAATCAAGCAAAAAAACTAGATGGAACTATAAAAAAGCTAACTGGGCAGCTTTTTCACAAGAAACAGACACAAGACTATCAAGCATAATGAAGACAGACGTCAACTCAACCTACACAGCTATAGTCTCCAACATCTTACAAGCAGCAAAAAAACACATCCCTCGAGGCCAAGTTAAGAAATACAAACCTTTTTGGACACCTGAATTAGATAAAGTAGTAAAAGAAAGAAACATGGCCAGGAAGACTATAGAACAAAATCCCTACTAGAGAGAACAAGACAACGTACAACAAATAGACAGGGCTTATAACATACAAAATTAAAACAGAAAAAAAAAAGCGGACCACAACATGCGAACAACTAGATCTAAACAAGGATGGTCAAAAGGCCTGGACCCTTCTGCACCGACTAGCAGAAAAGAAACAAATAACAACCCCCCAACCTATAAAAGGCACTGATGACATAACATAAAACCTTAAAAAGGCTGAAACCTTCAATAAATATTTTGCCAGCATTAACAAGTCAAAGCCAAGAAAACAACTGGACCAGGCCTTTAGTAATATCTTAAAGAAAGAAGAAAAAGTTCCAACAGTCAACTGTCAGATCTTTGACACTCCCTTCACTCTACATGAACTCAATACTGCCCTAAAAAGCCTCAAGTCAAGAAAATCCCCTGGACCCGATAAAATAACAAATGAAATGATTCGGGAACTAGGACCACAGGCACAAAACTGTATACTTAACTTTATCAACCATACATGGAAAACTGGAGACATACTACAGGAATGGAGAACCGCAAACATAATACCCATTTTAAAGAAAAATAAACCACCTGGAGACCCAAAAAGTTATAGACCAATATCTCTAACATCCAACATTGGCAAAATGGCAGAAAAAATGATCAATAACCGACTTTATTGGTGGCTAGAAAGTACTTACTCACTCCAAACAGAACCATCCAAACCCGATTCGAAGGTGCCATCTCTAGTAAAAAAAAAGTTTGGAAGAAGGACTACTACAAGGTTCAGCCCTTAGCTGCACTCTCTTTCTAATCTTCATGAATGACCTTCCGGACCTCATTTCGGTCAATAGGGCACTTTATGCTGACGACCTTTTAATTTGGACTACAGAGAAATATCCAGTGCTGACTAGATCCAAACTACATATAGCCCTCACAACTATCTCCACATATTCAAAATTATGGAAAATGGAAATAAACAAAGAAAAGTCAGTTTATTCAATCTTTAGCCACAGCAACAAAACAGCAAATAGACTCTCAGCCAATAAATAAAGCAGAAAATCCAACATATCTTGGTGTAAAACTAGACCAAAGACTGTCTCTAAAACACTTCATGGTAGATTTAAAAGAAAAAGCATCACAAAGATTAAACAATAAAACACCTAGCAGGAACATCCTGGGGAGCTGAAAAGAAAACCTTAAGACAGTTATACACTGGATATGTCAGATCTGTAATGGACAACTGTCTCTCCATACAAGTAGCTGCCAACAAAACCTATCAATCATCATTAGATACAATCCAAAACCAAGCCTTGAGGCTAATTAGTGGAGGTATGAGAACTACTCCCACAGCAGCCTGTGAAATAGACTTCAATATTGAACCTCTTAAGTTAAGGCGCAACAGAGCAGCATTAGAAGCTATTGAGAGATACAGAAGGTTGGAGGACGATCATCCAAATAAATTACTAACACAGAGAAATAGGAAAAACAACCAAAAAAAGCAAAGGACTCTGATCCAACTTACTGACGAACTAGCCCTAAAACACCACCTACCCAATTACAGAGAAAAAATTACCAGATTTTCAAACATTACACCCGGACTAAACTACAAAAACAATCAACCATCAAAACACATTTACTAAATAACACCATAACAAAAGAATCAAATCCACGGAGCTCAAAGTAGGCACGCTTGAAACAATTGAAAGCTATCAAAAAACAGCTATCCATATTTATACAGACGGATCGGCTTTCAAAGCCACCATCAATGCTGGTCTTGGTGCCTACCTGTTTGAGATAAGCGCACCCTGTGGCGATTACTGCTCAAACTTCCAAGCCAAAATTGAGGCAATCACCATAGCACTACAGACAGTGGAAAACAAATTATATGAAGAAGTGCAACCACCATCAGATATTGTTGTCTTTACAGACTCCCAATCTACTCTGCAAGCACTTAACAGCAGCACCTCAAACAGCCCAAGAGAGTTGGCAACACTCATTGTGATAATCCATCAGATGATATCAAAATTAAATATCAATATCACACTACAGTGGATCCCTGGACACATTGCCATCATGGGAAGTGAAAAGGCAGATAAGCTATCAAAGGCAGGTTCATCTATGGAACAACCAGATAGACCTGTTAACTACCTCACCCTAAGTTTAATGTTAGTCAACAATCACAAAGAGGAGTGGCTCAACCAATGGGCATCAGGAAACACAGGCAGAGCCATGTACAAAGAAATGACTACGCCAAACAAACTGGACAGTATTAACTTCCTCCCCCGTAAAGAACAATCTACAATCTTCCAACTAAGAACAGGACACACACCACTATTAAATTACCACCTGAACAAAATGAACTCCACACAACTCCCCCTTTGAAGACACTGCGCCCACCCTTTTGAAACCGTAACCATATCCTCTTTGAATGCCCCTCCCTAATCCACCTAAGGCAGACCCTACTTCCACTACAGCCCAACATAACCAACACCCTGTACGGCAGTGCTGAACAACTGAAGAAAACAGCACACTTTTTTTCCTTGGCACAGTCTGCAAAAGAGCTGACAGCTCAGCAGCAATAAGGCTGGCTAGAAGAAGAAGAATCTGCAAACATCACTCGAAAATACATAAGTGCTTGTATATCTGCAAACATCACTCGAAATACATGATAATTGCTTGTATATCTGCAAAACATCACTCAAAAATGCATAAGTCCTTGTATACCTTTAAACATAACTCAAAACTAGATGATAATTCCTAGTATATCTCAAAAATTACCTTAAAACTAGATATGAGCTTGTATATATACAAACATCACTTAAAACTAGATGATATGTTCTTGTATATCTACTAACATCACTCCAAACTAGATGATAAGTCCCTTGTATATCAACAAACATCACTTTAT